ACATGAATAATTGGATGTCTGAATTGTGAAAGAGTATGACTACTTCGCTCGTATTAGTAATTCTTTCTAATTCATTAATTTATCAGGTTATATTGAGGCACTAATATTGAAAGTATTAACAGTATTCTAACAATTCTTGTTGCCTACATTTATATTAAAAATCGTAAATACGTATGTATAATAATTTTACTCGGTAGGCAGCAGTCAAATATTAATTCCAAGATTTGACTTTTAAACAAACAAACAGAAGTGGCGTTTGTGCGAAAAAATTAATTTGTGTTTGTTTGGCTCAAATTTTGTCATAAAACCGCGTGAAGTGCTTCCAATACATTGCATTAAGTTAGCAGAATGCAAGAGTGTAATGCAATGCTATATGGAACATAAACTCGATTTTATGTCTAAAAAGTAAGGGCAGAGGATTTTGAACTAAATAGACCTTTCCGTTGCTGCTGATGGGAAAGAGAAACGATATTCTTAGATCTTTTGTTTCAACAGTTACGAAAGCATTTAAAGTACTTAGATGCATATTTTACACATGCGTGATTGAAAATGTGGTAGAAAAAAGAAACATACTTAACGTTTTTAAAATTAAAGTTCATATGCTATTTTCCTCGAATTATTTCACCGTACGAAACTGATTAAAGGTTTTTAGAAAGAAATTTTACATAGTATATTTTCAGATTATTCAGAATTTCAGGTTAAACTAATTCAGTTTTTCCCAAAAGTTAAGAGCCCGCCACTAGTGGATTGAGAATGAGCACTGGACATTGGCAGACCGATTATGGCTCTTATTCCAGCAAACGGGCTGGCTGAAAAACATTTCTTTTCTTTTTTTTTGTGGTGTTTATGCGTGTGTTTATTTACGTAGTATTACGTAAATACGAATCAATTTAATTCAAAACGTCCTCCAAGAAGGCCACTTCTCATTCATGCTGATGACTTTTGAGTATATTGCCATGATAAATTTATCTAAATTTACAGAAGTTAAAATATGTTGCATACAGGAAATTTATGAATTTTGATAACTTAGTTTTAGAGATTTTAAATTTGTTAAATACATAGACTTTGTTTTCATAACCTTCAGTTTTAGTTTTGTAAAACTATATTAAACTATCTTAATATTTCATTCTTCATAATGGAAAAATTAAATCACAGACCATTAATAATTGAAATATTGCTATTTCGAAAAAGTATCCTCCAACAGATATTTTATGCAATAAAGTTCGTGGCACAAAAGTGAGCTATTCAGTTATGTGCTAAGGATTTCTTAATCATAAACTAGAGATATCGTTCTTATGACTATATCACATTAATTTAATATAAGTCATGAAATCCAGATGATATGCAAGCAGCTTAGCGATTGAATCAGTTCCTTTTAGCCGCGAGTTTTCTCTCCAACTTTGTGAGTAATTTGAGCTAGAAATTTTATTAGAAAGAGGCTCTCGTATCAATTAATTTCCTCTAGTAGATAACTGGAATTTTTTGTTCGATTGATTTACTTGCTTTTGAATTTCATCATATTGGTCAAAATGTGTAATTGTAGAATTAACTGTTATAAGAAAAAATGCAGGCACATATGAATGGCACTTGCTGATTTTTTTTCCTTCTTTGATGATGGAAATGTCTTGCTGCGCAATTATGTTTCTCGAGAGTTTTATACTATTGGGATGAGTCAATAACTGTGATGGATGCTTCACTTAGACAACGTTTCGATCGACTGCGTAGAATAAGGCCGAGCAGTGCTTGAAAGAATATCTAGAGTGATGTTTAATGGCATGGTAATTGCAATCTTATCTGATATGTTATGATTTCCTTCCTGTTTTGCTTTGTATAATATTGAAAACAATCCTTATTTTGAATAAACAACAGATGCACAAAATAGGATTATCTCTGGGTCTTCACTGGTATTCACTGAATGACCTCTCATCATGTCATGCAAGAAATCAAGAAAATCAGGAACGCACCTTGGATAAGCCATTATTATGATATTTTATAATTCACCATCCAGCACGTGACACACAACATTTCTCCTAAAATCTTTCATTTCTCAATTTATTGATCATCTTCGAATAAACAACTACTGATGCTACAAAAGTATTAAGAATAAAACCTTATCATAGTATATACTGTCATCATCAAGTAAAAGCTATACATATTTTTTTTTAAATCTGAGATATTGGTATTTTAAATCTAAGTAAAGTTACTTGCTTGTTTAAAATTTAAAAAAAGTTGAAAGGCTATTTTCATAACACATAAGAATGCTTATAATTTGCTATTTAGAAGTTTGTTGAAAAGAATTTGAAGTGTTATTACTGGTGTTCTACCATTATATACTGAGTTGAAAGTTCGGTTTCAGGATGGCAATATAAATTTTATAATTTTCTTCAAGTTTTATTATATCCCATTTTGATGAAGAAATTTAAAATTAAATATGTACGCATGCATTAAAAATGTTTATTTTTTCCCTTTACCCGCCTTTTTTTACGAAATATTTTGATAGCTTTAGAAGTCTCAAATAAATATCAGTATTTTTTGCATCCCATATACAATAGGTTAGATTAAAATATCAATTAGTATTGCTTAGATCGCACATGATTTAACGTTTTAGCCCAAATGGGCTGTTAGTCTCGAAAGGGGATTTTGCGTCGTATACTATAAACTACTGTATCACTTTTTAAATTGCTGTTATCAAATATTATCAAACTGTAGTATTTTTAAAGAAATTAAATAATGAAGACTCTCCACGTATGTATGTGCTCCTCACATTGTGAAGAAACGATGGTACGTAAAGCCATTAAATTTTGAATAATGTAGTTCTCTAACAGAACATATGCATGTGGAAATCTGAAATTTCGAATTTCAAATTTTATATTTCCCATTTTGAATATTCACGTTTCCTCTTCTCACAGGTGGTACGGCTTCGGCCACTTTTTATTGCTCGCTTCTTACTGCTAGTATTTCTCTTTCATCCTCTTGCATTTGGTCATGACTTTTCTTCTCTTGTCTGTAGGCTACTTTACCCTTCTTGTTGCCTCTGATTCTCCGTCGGGAAGCTTTTCCTTTCCGGGCTTTATCCGTACTTGTCGATGGCTCTGCACTTGTTGTTGTTGTGCCGTTTCTTGAGAGGTTGCCTACCGTGCAGGATCCTGGAAAAGATCTTGAAAAATTTTCATTTTGTTTCGGTTTTAGTACGGTTTGATTGAATTTATAAAACTTAAATGAATTTTTATTAATATCAAAGATTTAAATTAGAACAGTTGCAACTCTGTACGGAGTAAAATATTTTTATCCCTCGCGCCAGTCTGTATATCGAAAAATCAAAAAGATTTGTCGTTTTTATTTATTTTGTGATTTTGCTGTTGAATTGCATTTCACGTGGCTCAGCTGTGAAGAGAATGCTATTTACAAAAAAAAAATAATTTTGAAAGCCATTTTTAGTAAGGAAACTGAGCATTGATATGATGAACGAAGAAAAGATTTGTAGAGACAGGAGGTATATTTTTGGAAGCAGGAAAGATGAAAAATAGCAAACAAGGCGTTTGCTATTTTTTCATCTTACCAGGAATGCACCAGGTTACACCAGGAATCGAACCACGGACCTCTCGAATACCAGCCCAGCGTGCAGAACCACTACACCACGAAGGCACGTCAAGAAGGTGGGAGAAATATCCCCCTTTTAAAGGGCTACTGGAGTATTTAGGTGACCCAATCTCCAAATCCTGGATGAGGAGAATCACACTTTTAGTTCGGGTGCCACTGTAGAGACACTTGAATTTTTTTGAAAAGCCAGAGAGATGAAAAATTAGCAAACCCTTCGCCGGGGAACCACGTACCTCTGGAATACCGGCTCAGTGTGCCGAACCACTACACCACGAAGACACTCTAGGAAAGTGGGAGAAATACCTTATAGATTGAAAAACAGAAATATTTAGGCCAGCACTTAATACCGCATCAAGAATGCTACATATATATGCTACATATATACTGCTTTTAAAATTTTTATAATTTTGATATGAAATTGTATATGGTGTAAGTGTGAAGAAAATGGCGCTGAAAAATAAGGGTTCAAAAAGAAATGAGAAGAGCGTAATAAATCTTAACAAATTCTTCTGGGCGATCGTTAAAAATCTAAGCCCTTTTAGATTTCCTTTCGTTTCTCTTTTATGAAATGCTTTTTTCACAAGAAATATACTTAGTTTATATTTTAATTTTGAAATAGGTTGAAACTCTTGATAGTAACATAATGTATATTGTAAATTTATATATATAGGTAATTATTATGGAAATATTGACACTCAGTAAGATAAATCAATAGGCATAGCAAAACAGAAATATGTTCATCGGTTTTTCAATTAAAAATAGAATGTAATCAAATAAATGAAGTTAAAAGTATTAATATTGAAATTAATCTCATTGGATGAATTTTGCACAAGATCCCCTTTTTTTACATGAAAAAGGCTTTAAGTTCTTGGTCGCTAATTATAATTTGGAATTCTTTAAATTAACTGAAGGCTATCAAAAGGAATTTGAATTAGTATGCATATTTCTTGGAAAATATTGGAGGTAGTAATTAATTCCTTGATTTAAATATATCTTTCTAATAAACAAAACCATTTAAGCCAAAAATTTTAATTTTATTCATTACAGATCAGGTTAAATAATTTTTTTCTCCTTTCAGTAAGATAAATTCTTTCTTAAATTAAATTAGTAATTTAATTAATTAAAGTTGTTCAACTATTTTTAATACTTTCCGATATTCAGCTTGCTGTTTCTATGTATAGAAATGTATACTTTTTAATTACCTTTTAATTTTGTATAGGAATCATTTTCAAAAGCTTTTAATTCCTAACTTAATTTTTAAAAAACTTACTTTTTAAAATTTTATCTTTGCACAAGCGCTATTCTTTCTTGAGATTTAATTTTTTTAAATAAATTCACTCGATTGCATTGGTTTGTGTATTTCCTGAAGTGATGGACATGAGTATGATAAATTCTTTTAGTTTAACTGCAATATGCAAGGAGCAGTTTCAAGAAAGGGAGAGGAAGACCCTAATCATGTGTAAGGTCCCTAACTTGAAATTCTAAGTTAATGTTGGAAGTGAGGAACCTAGGAACTGATAAGCGAATAATCGCTAGAGTTCGAAGACAGGAAACAACAAGAGAGAAGGGTAAGTAACCCTTTATTATTTCTATAAGATTTCACAAAACTCCGCCTGGGAGTAACAAATAAAGTCCGCACTTTGGACTTGAACTTAAAAGACTAAGAATTAAACTAAAACTAAGATTAACTAACTAAGTATAGCCAAAGCTATCAAGGTACAATGAGAGTTGGCCCCTTAACCTATTTTACTACGAAGCTTAGCAAGGGCCTGAGTACGGCCGAGCGTATAACAGCTTTTGAGAGAGAGCGGCCAAAAATGCAGACGCGCGTTAGTTCAGAAACTCTGTTTCTCTCTCTGTCTCGGTAAGTAACTTCGTGGTTTAAATACCGCTCCTTCTCATTAAATATTCAGCAAATTCCAAAACTACGTTCTGGCCGGAAGTAGTAAGTTGAAGTTAAGAATTTGACAGGAAAGGAACTTTAACTTAAAATTTAACTGTTAATAAAATTAACATAATCCTTACATAGCTTCCGACCAGACTTTAAATACTCGAAAAATAAGGTCTCAAAACGACCTTGTTTAAGACTTTAAAGGTCTGAAAAACTTACATTAACTACACTCTTCCAACTTTTACATTAACTAAATGACTTTAAAGTTTCGTTTTTAGGGCCAACTTTACAACAATTCTAAAAGCTAGACTAAAGCTAGGAAAAATAAAAATTTACAATGTTCCTTTCTGGACATTATATCTTGACATAAATCTTCTTCCTACATACTCTTTATTCAGCTAGACTTATTTCAGGTCTTGATCCTTCCATATCTGGAAGGAAATGTCATTAGTAATGCATTTTTACAAAACTTGACTTTAAATCTTCGCTTTACGATTTTAATTTATTATTTGGCCCTTATGCGCTTTCATTCATCTACAGATTTATTTCACCTATGCTCTCCAGCAAATGTACTGAAATGTACTTAGGGTCTTCTATGTTGTGTTACCGCGAACAAACTACCGCTACACAGCACCTAACTTTGTTAAAATGTGACACACTAGACCTGCCAAGACTCCCTACACGAAACTGTTTCCTACTGTAGTAAGCAAAAGCTTATATTTTACTTTAAACGTGTTAACTGGAGAGCCTAACATTAAACACATATATATCAATATTCCATTCTTCCGTAACTCCCATACACAGAAATAAAAATTTATTTTCTATGTCCTTTTAATCTTTACGATATTTCAACACAAAGATCAAACATTTATACATGAACATAAACATTTAAATATTTACACATCACTTTTGAATTCCTTTTACATCAACAGTCATAGTTGCTTAATTACACTTTACCAAAATTTACACGAAATCTTAACTTTACGTTAACATATTTCAATAGTCTTCCGACTAAACTTATTCAGAATTTACTTCTCGCAACTTGCGAGTTCTTAACAAAAAGTATTTGACGCTAGTAGCTTCTCGCCAAATTACTAACATAAAAATCTATGTTTACGAACATTTACAAAATATCGCTATCTGCGATTTAAGTTTTCTAAACAGATTTAGCAACTTATAACAATATGATATAATTTGAACTTCAAAGAAAAATTAGCAAAGAAATTTTCACTTATCTTTTTCTGTATTCCTGCATCCTGTCTTTACAGAATTGATCAAATGTAGAAAACCTGATAACCTCCACTCTTCTTCTCGATGTTCGATGTTCCGCTCCATTCAGTTCCAGTGCTTTCCTTTTTCTGTCCTTTATGTAGGAATCTGGGACTCTTCCGGGCAGGTTGTGGATTCTGGAATGCCAATTTCCTTTTTTTGCTCCTGGTGGGGATGCTCTCCGTCCTTCAGGGTCTTTGAATCTTCTCTTGGTCCTTCTAACTTGTTGCTGGTCCGGCACGGTTGTGTCTACAGGTCTTTTCTGGCTTTTCGGTCTCCACGCTGGTCCTCCTTGGGTCTGCCTTGTAGTTGTTGATGCTGGAAACTGTGCTTTACGTTCTAGTTTTAATTCGTCGTTGAATTTTCTCCTTTCCTGGAACCTTGTCAGCAGGCCTCCTCTTGTGGTCGATGGCACTTGAGTTTTTGCAGCATCCTTCGGTTCTGACTCGTTGATCTGTCGGTGCTAACTTTCTCCTTTTTTGTGCGCTTGTAGCATTACTGGTATGGGTTTCCCTGGTCGAAGTTTGCTGGCTCTGCTTTCTTTTTTTGTGTTGGGGGACTCGAGCTGTACTCCTGAGCTGGCGGGCTTCTCTCCTTACTTCCAGAATCCTGTAATAAATCCTGCAATATTTTAAAGTCAGTGCGGCTGTAATAAGGTTTTAACTGATCGATATTTGCCACCAGTTGTTGGCCATTTTCGGCCTTTAAATAAAACGTGGCTTCTCTTATTCTTTCCACCATGTACGGCCCTTCAAACCTGGGCTCAAACTTCGCCAACTCTGTTTTCTGGTGCCGACGATAACGAATATTTCAACTTCAGCACTTTTTGTCCCACTTGTATATTCCAATTCCCTTCTATTTCTATCATAATAAATCTTTTGTTTTTGTCTTGCTATATCAGAACTTTTAATTGCTTCGTCAATAATTTTTTGAACGTCTTTTAACTTAAATTCTTCTTGTCGCTGTTGTACAAAGAATAGCTTATCCAACGGCGTTATGATTTTTCTTCCTAAAAATAACTCCGCGGGGGTTTTTCTGCGTAGTATCGTGCTTTGCGGTTCTCAAGGCAAAACCTAACTCATTGACACAGCTGTCCCAGCGGTCATGAAAGTTTTTCACATATCCCTCTGATAATTTTTACAATATTCTTATTTACGCGTTCCGCTATATTCGACTGCGGTCTATATGGTACCATTTTTAGATGGCGTATGCCAAGTCCTGTGCACAAATTTTTAAATATACTACTAACAAACTGTTTTTCCGTTATCTGATATTACTTTTAGTGGGGCCCCGTATTTTAATATATATTTATTTAAGAAACGAATCTGCGACTATTTTAGCTGAAGCTCGTTTAAGAGGGACTATTTCTACCCATTTTGAAAAATGGTCAACGATTGTTAAAAGATATCTGTTTTTATTTATTTTTGTCCTAGGGTAGGGTCCTAGCAAATCTATTCCAACTATTTCGTTTGGAAAAGTGGTCTTTATGTTTTTTAAATACCCGGCCGGGCTGTAATTAACATCGTTTATTAATTGGCACATATGGACACGACTTAACATACGCCGTAACAACTTTCTGTAACTGCGGAAAATAAACCGCTTCGCGTACCCTCTTTAGTGTTTTTCGTATTCCGAAATGTGCTGCAGAAGGTAGATCGTGCAACTCCTCTAAGATACTTAAACGTAGACTCGCTGGGATTACTGGTCGGTATTCCTGATTTTCATTAGTTACTTTGTGTAAAATAACAATTTGTCGATTATTTCATAATGCTGTGCCCTATTGCGAATAGCCGTTAAATCTATATGTTCAAATTTTCAGGGTCT